TTTTCAATATGTGTGACAGAAATCTCAATCAGAAATTTTCAGTAGTTTTTTAATTGTCGAAACAGTGGAAAATTTCTAAAATTTCAGTACTTTTAACTGATTTTCAGTGAAATTCCACTGATTCAAATCGTGAGAATAGAGTAAAATCTGATTCACTGATTCTCAGTCAAATTTCACTGATTTTCAGTGATCGTCTCATACTTGAATGAGTTGATATGTTTTTTTGTTAATTCAAAAGTAATTCGTAAAATTACTTTTTCTCTCACATCACCTTAATTAAATTAGTTAATTTTTAATTGATTTAAAAATCTAGAAGAGCAAGTCGACACTGCAACAACAATGGATATCAGCAACGCAACCTTGACAATAAATTCTGAGCTTGCAACAGCTGCAGAAGAAAATAAGGACACTGACTCTCCTCAAATACCAACGGTAAGAAGAAGAAGACAAAAATCCAAAGATGATGAGAATGTCACAGCGCCTAAAAGAGGCAGAGGAAGGCCAAGAGGCAGCAAGAATAAAAGAGGATTGGGAAGAGGGAGAGGAATTGCAAAAGTTACCGAAAGCACGGGCAGAGGTGGAAGATGTGGTAGAGGCAGGGGTGGACGACAAAAATCCAGAGGGATTGAAAGAATAAAAAGTGCAGGTATAATCATCCTTACAGGTAATATCCTTGGTTTTTTACACTCTGGAAAAATTAAATTTTTAGAATTTATAAGAAAATTCTGAATTTCAGAGTCTTTTTTGTTTGCCCATAAACTATGAAATTGTCGAGAATTCAAATACAAAAGTTTCAATTTTTTCTATATCTCACCAATAATTTCTTTTTAAATAACTTAATTCTTTAAGAACTATCATAAAATTATTACTTAGAAATTATTTAAATTCTTTTTAATATCTACTATTTTAATAAAATTTTCCAAAAGAATTTTATTACTTAAACAAAATTTTAATAAAAATTTAACAGGAATTCAATTTCTTACCAATTTTTTTATAAATTTCTTCGATCCAATTCAATTATTTTTCATTTTTTCATAAAATTTCTAAAAATAGTTCTCAGAAGTTCAATTATTTCGAAAAATTTAAATAAATTTCTATTATTTAAAAAAATTTTGACAAAATTCTTTACAAGATTTACTTGATAAAATTTTCAATACAATTCTTCTTAAAAATTCAATTATTTTCACAAATAATACATTTTTTATGGGAATTACATTATTTAAAAAAATTTGAATGAAATTCTTCACAAGAATTGAATTTTCGAAAAATTTTCTGATAAAAATTTAATAAAAAATTCATTTCAGTTAAAATTTTAGATTATAATTGAATAATAAAAGCATTAAAGTGTGAATTTTTAGAAATGATTAAATTTTGAAAAGGGTTCAAATTAAAATCTTTGAAAAATTGAATTTATAGCGACAATATTCTTATGAAATAAAATAATGATATTATAACTCTGTCATGCTAAAATCTATCATAAAACACGAAGAAAGCGTCGGTTTCTTGATGCTTTATAATAATATTCTTATAAGTTATTGGATTTCAGAAAGTTTTTATTTATAAATCTTTATTCCTGTAGAAAAATAATAATGATTAAATATTTATTTAAAAAAGAAGTTATTGATGTTTTCGAATAATTTTACAATTAAAGAAATTCATAAATAAACGTAACAGAACATTTTTTTGAGTATCCAATAATTTTTAGACTAAATCAGAATATTCTTTTGCGTCAGGAAAAATTTAAAATTTTGTCTGGAAATCAGGGAAAAGTCAGGGGAAAACAAAATTAAATTTTTGTGGCAACCCTGATACACTTAGAAATTATGCCACAAAAAACACATTTACATGACTTAATGTGTTCCTTTCTAATAGAAGCATTGTTTAGGGTTTTTAGTGTTTTTAGGGTGACCATCTTTAATATGTGTTCCTTTCTTATAGAAGCATTGTTTAGGGTTTTTAGGGTGACTATCTTTAATGCTACAAATACGGACAGCTATCTAGATAGTCACCGTTACCATCAATATCATCAGGAGTAATATCTTGGTAGTACGGGGTAGCATAACTATATTTTTTAGCATCTGTGATGGTTGGCAGTAGCATAATGATAGAATCGTGTAACATTATCTTTTTAACATCAAAATCTGACTATCCATTTCTCTCAGTATAAAAACCTATGTATCTTTTCCTCTTATTTTAAAGCGTATTTTGCCACTACATTTTAACCCTAAAATGAGAATATGTTGGCTAAGCTATAGCCATAGTTATTAACATTTAAGGAAAATTTAAATAGTAAATAGACCCGAAACACACTATTTAAATTTTCCTTAAATGTTAATAACTATGGCTATAGCTTAGCCAAATATATAGCCAAATATATATATATATATGTTACCGGTAAAACCCGAAGTCCAGGCATTTTGCGAAATGCCTAGACAAATCGGGAAATACCTAAAATCTTAGGTATTACTCAAATTTCCTAGACATTTTTAGGTATTTTCCGAATTGCCTAGGCATTTTCGTAAATTTCCTAGGCATTTCGCGAAATGCCGAAGTCGATTTAGGCAAATTGAAAAATTTATTGAAACCTTAATTGTGAACATATATTTTTTGCTGGTTATTTGTTGCAGCATGTCAAACTTACGGGATTTTCGCCGTAGATTACGAATCTGTAAGTTAAATTGTCCCATCACGTCTCAATTTTGAGAAAAACGGGGTCCAAGTGTCAAAATATCCCATTTTTAGCACTTTTTGAAGCACTATAAAAAAAGAACGCGACGTGATAGAAAGCTCAAATATGTCTTAAATGAGAGCTCGAACCCTCAACTTTAAAATCTAAAAACAAAAAACTATGTAGAAATAACTCAAAATTGTGGTGAACAACTTTTTACCGCGTGCGCGCCCATCAGCTATTATTTTAGTTAGCGATCATATAGGGTAAATTAATAAAAAGTTGTTCCCCACAATTTTAAGTTATTTCTACTTGGCTTTTTGCTTTTGGATGTTAAAGTTGAGGGTTCGAGCTCTTATTTAAGACATATTTGAGCTTTCTATCACATCGCGTTCTTTTTTATAGTGCTTCAAAAAGTGCTAAAAATGGCATATTTTGATACTTTGACCCCGTTTTTCTCAAAATTGAGACGTATTCTTGTAGCAATATTTTGACGAACAGTGTAATAGACTAATAATTTTGTAAACAATCTGTTTACATTAGTATGCGCAGCTTACAAATGATCAACTTTTCATTTTGCCTAAATCGACTTGGGCATTTCGCGAAATGACTAGGTATTTCGCGAAATACCTAGGCAATTTGAGAAATGCCTAAAATTTCTAGGTAAAACTCGAATTTCCTGGCCACTTTTAGGTATTTCCCGATTTGCCTAGGCATTTCGCAAAATGCCTGGACTTCGGGTTTTACCGGTAACATATATATGTTACCGGCAAAACCCGAAGACCAGGCATTTTGCGAAATGCCTAGGCAATTCGAGAAATGCCTAAGATTTTAGGAAATACCCGAATTTCCTAGAGATTTACAGGCAGTTCTCGAATTGACTAGGCATTTCGAAAATTGACTAGGCGATTCGCGAAATGCCGGGGCCGTTTTAGGCAAATTGGCAATTTGCCTAAAAAGAGTTCGTCATTTCAGGCAAATTGAGAAATTGAGAATTTATAAACAAAAAAAATAATTAAAATTTCCTTCCTTACTCAATAATATTGCTTACTATTATTAGTATCTATACTGAGTCAAAACGAGTCAACCGTGAATAAATTTTTTTTTATATTTTTGGAAAAGTCAAAACATTTATAAAAATCTGTAATTCACAACGAACCAAAAAACACTTTAAACCGCTTTTAAAAATTAAAAATTTTAATACCTTTTTTTATAATAACAAATTCTTGCATCATTTAAGAAAAAAATTAATAACAAGAAAAATCGATTGCAGTGGGATTTTTTTTATAATTTACTGTTCAAAAATGTCTACAGACTACAATTTTTAACCGATTTCAGTGTTCTTTGTTTTAAATTAAAGAGACATAAATTTTTAAGACTCAAATAAAAAAGAATGCCTCTTGGATAATTAAAATCGGTTAACAAGTTTTTTTTAATTAATTTTAAAAAAAGAGTTAAAAACTTTAATTGTTTATAATAATAGCAAAAAATTTTTTTGTCAAATCCTTTGTTATAGTGTTTTTTTTATATAAAACACTATAGGAAAAACAACATTTTGTCGAAATATAAATTTTTTGAATTTTATTAAGCTCGTTTCAAAAATTCTTACTCCAAATTAATACAATTTTTTAAAAGGGGACGATTAATTTTTTATTCCGTTGATACACATGATCTAAATCAGTTCAAATTAATCTAATATGACCACCTGACCATTAATAAAGCATAAAATAATTTATATCAATTGTTATAAACAATATTAATTACAGATTTTTATAAATGTTTTGACTTTTCCAAAAATATTAAAAAAAATTTATTCACGGTTGACTCGTTTTGACTCAGTATAGATACTAATAATAGTAACCAATATTATTGAGTAATGAAGGAAATTTTAATTATTTTTTTTGTTTATAAATTCTCAATTTCTCAATTTGCCTTAAATGACGAACTCTTTTTAGGCAAATTGCCAATTTGCCTAAAACGGCCCCGGCATTTCGCGAATCGCCTAGTCAATTCTCGAAATGCCTAGGCAATTCGAGAACTGCCTGTAAATCTCTAGGAAATTCGGGTATTTCCTAAAATCTTAGGCATTTCTCGAATTACCTAGGCATTTCGCAAAATGCCTGGTCTTCGGGTTTTGCCGGTAACATATATATATACCTCATAGGGCAGTGTAGATTGCATGTATGTAACAATGTGACATAGGTTTGAGGGGGGGAGCAAAAAAGTTTAACATAATATATAGATAACTTCTTTTGTATTTTTTTCGCAATTCATTGTACTATATATAACAAAATTGAAAATTATGATACCTTTAAAATGACGTTTCTTTCTTTTATTCTAAAGAAATAATATCATCATCATCGTCATCGTCCTCATTTTCTTCAAAATCACTGTCAAGAACATCACACTCAAGAACATCACCGTCAAGAAAATCATCGTCAAGAAAGTCATCGTCAAGAAAATCATCGTCAAAAAAATCATCGTCAAAAAAATCATCGTCAAAAAAATCATCGTCAAAAAACTCATCGTCAAAAAAATCGTCGTCAAAAAAATCGTCGTCAAAAAAATCATCGTCAGGATCATCGTCGTCAGGATCATCGTCGCCTGGATCATCGTCGTCAGGATCATCGTCGTCAGGATCATCTTTGTCACGATCATCTTCAACTTATTCATCAACATAAGTTACCAGTTTGAAATATTACTTGCTAATATTAAATTAATTAAAATAATTAAAAGAAATAACCATATGGTAAATGTTTAGAAATGTATTTTAGATAAAATAAAACAATTTAAAAGTTGTTTTTCTATTCAAAAAATTTTATAATTCATTTTTTTAAAAATAAGATATTATCAAAACTCTTTTGTCGCTACAGTAAGAATAGGATGAAAGATACGTTAAAACTAAAACTAAAAGAATGAAAATGTTAGCTTATCATCAGAAATCATAGCACAAAATTTTCTACAGTATCGAACAATTGTCTTACAAATCTAATTATGTCGTCCTTATATTATATCTTTAAATCATACACCATTTAAAGTAAAAACCACTGTATCTTAGTATAAACGAAATTAATTATTCAGTTGAAATTTCAAATCATTACTATTCCTTCATTAAGTATATAAAAACAAACATTCAACTAAACTTTCAATTTTACTTTTTAGATTCTCAAACTAAATCCTGATATTTTGTTAGGACATAAACGAAATCCAGTTAAAGAAGATGCACATGCATTTTAATGAAAACCTCCACTAATACAAAATAAACAACATATTACTTAGACCTTCATTTCTTTAAAACAATATTTATATCAAACCTGTACGGTAACTACCAAAGTTGTTATATTCAAACCTACCTCAATTAAAAGCCAAATAGTCCGGGAGCTAGCGACCAAAACAACTATCTCATTTCATACCGGATGAAAATTTGAGTATAGATAACAGAAACCCACGTCTGTCAGTCCGGTGCTGGGGTAGGGGGGGCGAATAGGTGAAAAATAATGTAAAATTTTCTCATTTCATACCGATTAAAACCTTCATAACTCGAAGTTTACACCCACACGAGTGTAAAAATGTGCGTCTGGCAGTTCTAGGATGGGCCAAAGTACGTCTGGCAGCCCTTCGAAGATGCGGCAAATGGGTCAATAGGTGAAAAATAATGTAAATATTTCTTATTTCATACCGATTAAAACCATAATAACTCAGAGTTTACATCTATACAAGTGTAAAAATGTACGTCTGGCAGTTCCGGGGTGGGGTAAAGGTCGTCTAGCAAAGGGTTAAACACGTAAAAAATCTAAATTTTTTTCTCATTTAATACTGATTCAAACCTTAAGAAATCGAAAGTTTACATTCAAACAAGTGTAAAAATACTCGTCTGGCTGTCGTACACAGTAAAAAGTAAATCTTATTTTAAGAACAAGCTGAAATTAAACTAGTCTTGAAACTAAGACCAGTCTTAATTTAAGCACAGCTTGTGTAAAAATAAGGATAAGCAATCTGAATTGACAGATCTCATTACTGTATAGTGAATTTCTAAATTATTCACTGAATTTAATATTTTTTACATTTATCACATTTTATTCACATATTATTTTTAATCCTCAAGCAATTGACAGGTTCAGGTTAGTTTTTTACATTGTTAATAAATACCTAAGTATACTAATTTTGTTTACAACTCATATGGTCGAATCGAATCGATTAACCAGTCACAGAAATTTATTACATCGTACTTTAGCATTCCAAGCCTAATTCTATTGAAGACCAACCGTCATCTAAACTGTAGATTCAATCCAGCATCCATAGAATTTGACAGAATCGAAAATAGTTTTCAGGTATTATATAAACCATCACCTGCATTTAATTACCACTTATTATGCAAATCTTCAACTAAAATTCATCATTGCACCCTTCTCAAACCCATTTCTACATCCCGGCTTTTGACTTTCATTCCTGATTACGTTGGGGGACAAAATTTTGAGATTACAAGCTTCAGGACTATTTCAACCATGCTAATGATTAGTTTCAAAAAAAAATTCGAATTTATGTATGCTCTGTATTGTTGCATTAATATGATGTCACTGCAGATTGCAACATGAATACAAGGCGAATTTGTTGAAACTAATTGTTAGTTACTCCTCATCTGAATCTACAAAACGACACGAATAGAACATCATCTGCCACAATTGTCAACTGCTCATTAATTTGGATTAAAAAGAACAATGAACATTCTACAGAATTCTTACAATTCTATACTGATGCAGAATTTTTCTTACAGGTGACAAACGAAAACATTTTCAATCCCTTAACAACTCTTGTATAGTTCATATATTATTCTTTTAAAATTAGCCTTAAATCTTTAACCGAAGAATCCTTTTTACTAACAATTTGTAATTAATATATAACTAAAATTCCTGTTTCTATTCGTAGATCGTCCCGCTCCATCCTGCCTAGTTTCCCGTCATTTCATACCGCTGACTCTAAGCCAACAACCAGCAGCACTCAAATTAGAATAGGACTCTATGCCAACTACCAGCAGCACTCAAATTATAATAGATGAAAAAAATTTTTTTATGTATCTTTCTAAACCTTTAATTACCTTCTATAAAACTTGTTCAAGTGAATTTTCGACTAAAAATAATCCTTCAATCCGTAGATGAATCTACAATCATTCTGTCCGTTGATCCTGAATATCCTTCCTGGTCATTGAATTGTACTTCTAATCCTGTGGTAGAGAGAAAGCAAAGAGAGTGAATCGATTAACTAGTCACAGAAATTTATTACATCGCACTTTTGCATTCCAAGCCTAATTCTATTGAAGACCATCCGTCATCTAAACTGTAGATTCAATCCAGCATCCATAGAATTTGACAGAATCGAAAATAGTTTTCAGGTATTACTTGAAACCATCACCTGCATTTAATTACCACTTACTATGCAAATCTTCAACTAAAATTCATCATTGCATAATCCTAGAACCCATTTCTACACCCTGGCTTTTGACTTTCACTCCTGATCACGTTGGGGGACAAAATGTTGAGATTCCAAACTTCAGGACTATTTCAACCATGCTAATGATTAGTTTCAAAAAAAAATTCGAATTTATGTATGCTCTGTATTGTTGCATTAATATGATGTCACTGCAGATTGCAACATGAATACAAGGCGAATTTGTTGAAACTAATTGTTAGTTACTCCTCATCTGAATCTACAAAACGACACGAATAGAACATCATCTGCCACAATTGTCAACTGCTCATTAATTTGGATTAAAAAGAACAATGAACATTCTACAGAAATCTTACAATTCTATACTGATGCAGAATTTTTCTTACAGGTGACAAAAGAAAACATTTTCAATCCCTTAACAACTCTTGTATAGTTCATATATTATTGTTTTAAAATTAGCCTTAAATCTTTAAGCGAAGAATCCTTTTTACTAACAATTTGTAATTAATATATAACTAAAATTCCTGTTTCTATTCGTAGATCGTCCCGCTCCATCCTGCCTAGTTTCCCGTCATTTCATACCGCTGACTCTAAGCCAACTACCAGCAGCACTCAAATTAGAATAGAACTCTATGCCAACTACCAGCAGCACTCAAATTATAATAGATGAAAAACATTTTTTTAGGTATCTTTCTAAACCTTTAATTACCTTCTATAAAACTTGTTCAAGTGAATTTTCGACTAAAAATAATCCTTCAATCCGTAGATGAATCTACAATCATTCTGTCCGTTGTTCCTGAATATCCTTCCTGGTCACTGAATTGTACTTCTAATCCTGTGGTAGAGAGAAAGCAAAGAGAGTGAATCGATTAACCAGTCACAGAAATTTATTACATCGTACTTTTGCAATCCAAGCCTAATTCTATTGAAGACCAACCGTCATCTAAACTGTAGATTCAATCCAGCATCCATAGAATTTGACAGAATCGAAAATAGTTTTCAGGTATTACTTGAAACCATCACCTGCATTTAATTACCACTTACTATGCAAATCTTCAACTAAAATTCATCATTGCATCATCCTAGAACCCATTTCTACACCCTGGCTTTTGACTTTCACTCCTGATCACGTTGGGGGACAAAATGTTGAGATTCCAAACTTCAGGACTATTTCAACCATGCTAATGATTAGTTTCAAAAAAAAATTCGAATTTATGTATGCTCTGTATTGTTGCATTAATATGATGTCACTGCAGATTGCAACATGAATACAAGGCGAATTTGTTGAAACTAATTGTTAGTTACTCCTCATCTGAATCTACAAAACGACACGAATAGAACATCATCTGCCACAATTGTCAACTGCTCATTAATTTGGATTAAAAAGAACAATGAACATTCTACAGAAATCTTACAATTCTATACTGATGCAGAATTTTTCTTACAGGTGACAAAAGAAAACATTTTCAATCCCTTAACAACTCTTGTATAGTTCATATATTATTGTTTTAAAATTAGCCTTAAATCTTTAACCAAAGAATCCTTTTTACTAACAATTTGTAATTAATATATAACTAAAATTCCTGTTTCTATTCGTAGATCGTCCCGCTCCATCCTGCCTAGTTTCCCGTCATTTCATACCGCTGACTCTAAGCCAACTACCAGCAGCACTCAAATTAGAATAGGACTCTATGCCAACTACCAGCAGCACTCAAATTATAATAGATGAAAAACATTTTTTTAGGTATCTTTCTAAACCTTTAATTACCTTCTATAAAACTTGTTCAAGTGAATTTTCGACTAAAAATAATCCTTCAATCCGTAGATGAATCTACAATCATTCTGTCCGTTGTTCCTGAATATCCTTCCTGGTCATTGAATTGTACTTCTAATCCTGTGGTAGAGAGAAAGCAAAGAGAGTGAATCGATTAACCAGTCACAGAAATTTATTACATCGTACTTTTGCAATCCAAGCCTAATTCTATTGAAGACCAACCGTCATCTAAACTGTAGATTCAATCCAGCATCCATAGAATTTGACAGAATCGAAAATAGTTTTCAGGTATTACTTGAAACCATCACCTGCATTTAATTACCACTTACTATGCAAATCTTCAACTAAAATTCATCATTGCATCATCCTAGAACCCATTTCTACACCCTGGCTTTTGACTTTCACTCCTGATCACGTTGGGGGACAAAATGTTGAGATTCCAAACTTCAGGACTATTTCAACCATGCTAATGATTAGTTTCAAAAAAAAATTCGAATTTATGTATGCTCTGTATTGTTGCATTAATATGATGTCACTGCAGATTGCAACATGAATACAAGGCGAATTTGTTAAAACTAATTGTTAGTTACTCCTCATCTGAATCTACAAAACGACACGAATAGAACATCATCTGCCACAATTGTCAACTGCTCATTAATTTGGATTAAAAAGAACAATGAACATTCTACTGAAATCTTACAATTCTATACTGATGCAGAATTTTTCTTACAGGTGACAAAAGAAAACATTTTCAATCCCTTAACAACTCTTGTATAGTTCATATATTATTGTTTTAAAATTAGCCTTAAATCTTTAAGCGAAGAATCCTTTTTACTAACAATTTGTAATTAATATATAACTAAAATTCCTGTTTCTATTCGTAGATCGTCCCGCTCCATCCTGCCTAGTTTCCCGTCATTTCATACCGCTGACTCTAAGCCAACTACCAGCAGCACTCAAATTAGAATAGAACTCTATGCCAACTACCAGCAGCACTCAAATTATAATAGATGAAAAACATTTTTTTAGGTATCTTTCTAAACCTTTAATTACCTTCTATAAAACTTGTTCAAGTGAATTTTCGACTAAAAATAATCCTTCAATCCGTAGATGAATCTACAATCATTCTGTCCGTTGTTCCTGAATATCCTTCCTGGTCACTGAATTGTACTTCTAATCCTGTGGTAGAGAGAAAGCAAAGAGAGTGAATCGATTAACCAGTCACAGAAATTTATTACATCGTACTTTTGCAATCCAAGCCTAATTCTATTGAAGACCAACCGTCATCTAAACTGTAGATTCAATCCAGCATCCATAGAATTTGACAGAATCGAAAATAGTTTTCAGGTATTACTTGAAACCATCACCTGCATTTAATTACCACTTACTATGCAAATCTTCAACTAAAATTCATCATTGCATCATCCTAGAACCCATTTCTACACCCTGGCTTTTGACTTTCACTCCTGATCACGTTGGGGGACAAAATGTTGAGATTCCAAACTTCAGGACTATTTCAACCATGCTAATGATTAGTTTCAAAAAAAAATTCGAATTTATGTATGCTCTGTATTGTTGCATTAATATGATGTCACTGCAGATTGCAACATGAATACAAGGCGAATTTGTTGAAACTAATTGTTAGTTACTCCTCATCTGAATCTACAAAACGACACGAATAGAACATCATCTGCCACAATTGTCAACTGCTCATTAATTTGGATTAAAAAGAACAATGAACATTCTACAGAAATCTTACAATTCTATACTGATGCAGAATTTTTCTTACAGGTGACAAAAGAAAACATTTTCAATCCCTTAACAACTCTTGTATAGTTCATATATTATTGTTTTAAAATTAGCCTTAAATCTTTAACCGAAGAATCCTTTTTACTAACAATTTGTAATTAATATATAACTAAAATTCCTGTTTCTATTCGTAGATCGTCCCGCTCCATCCTGCCTAGTTTCCCGTCATTTCATACCGCTGACTCTAAGCCAACTACCAGCAGCACTCAAATTAGAATAGGACTCTATGCCAACTACCAGCAGCACTCAAATTATAATAGATGAAAAACATTTTTTTAGGTATCTTTCTAAAGAAGATAGGACATTCTCCCAACTTTTTTTTGAACATATAATATTAAAATATTATATTGAACATAAAAGTGAGAATACAACAAATATAATAAAGTCTGAAA